CCCACCTCCTACTCCACTGTCAATACCCACAGATATCATAGTCAAAGGGCTCCCCCCAGCTTTTCTTCTGCACGCTGGTACAGTCTCAGGCTACTCTCTCAATCCCACTCAGGCTCTATTGCCTCCCCTGTAACTTTGTAAAACCAGTAATAGATTCACTAGCGTTTCTACAATGCATTGGAGATTTTTAGCTAGGAGATACAATTTAAAACATATACAAATTGTAGCTATTTGTAGGTATCTAGTACTAAAGTCCACTTTTGATTCCTCAGTTACTGTTTTGTTTTTGATTATACAAAGAACTGTGCAGGATATGGCTTCTTCCTCTTTTTTCCAATACTAATCAATTATTTTACAATGCAAAAAGCTAAAAGAAACGCACATGCATTAAAAATAGAACAGCTTGTATTTGGCATTAACATAAAAAGCAAATACATTTGCCACATCAGCACTGTCGGAACATAGCAAGTGAATATTGTGACCAGGCACTTGCTAGACCACTGTGTTTCTCTCCCAGCTGGCCTCCATTTATTTCACTAAGGGGATTATCACTATTTTACATATGGAAACAGGCACTGAGGATGGGAAAAAGCTGTTAACTTAGCAACAGCAACGTAAAAGGCTGTATGTCACAGGCTTTAACCTTGCCCTTGACTTGCTGGCCATAGAACAACGTGAGACCCGGTGCTCAGACCTTTCCTTTCAAGGTGAGGCCTATCAATATGAAGAGCTAAAAGAAATGCATATGCATTAACACAAGAGAAGCCTTGAGGTCTCTGTGGCATGGTGGAAATCTCCAGCGAAGGGACAAGCAGGGAAGCATGGAAGGACAATTAGCTATTCTAGATGGCGTCAGTCAATGCTTTAAGAAACAACCTAAAATTTACAGAGAAAATCCGTGGAAGAGTTGGGAATGAAGACAGATCTGGTTCTCAACTAGGAAAAAGACAAAAAACTTCTCTCAACCCCTTGCTACGGGAGATATATATTGCCCGTTTCTCCATTTCATTAAAACAGTAAAACTTTATCGGTCAAGTCTTTCTCGAGTTAACACTAAAACAATCTGAATAAAAACTACAACCAGGAAAATGCAGCAAATTCCCCGCAACTATAATAGGCCAACTGCTGTCTTTATCCTCATATAACCTCAACATAATGAAGTGGCACAGACATAGCTTAGGGCACAATGTAGCTCAGAACAGTTAAAGATTTCGCATGTTTTTCAGTTACAGTTCTGTAGTCAACAAGGCCTGCCATACACAGAACATCTATGAAATAAGAAGTTAGTGAGTTAGCATCCTGCAGTAAGGCCTCCTTTGTAATTCCTGTTTCAGCTGGAAATTCTTTGAAGAGATGATTGAACCATATCGCCTCCATGAAAGCTGCAAAGATATAACAACTGCTGAGAAACTGAAGCGAGAGACTCCATGGAAAATTACAGATGCAGAGCTAGAAGCGTTCAAGGAGAAGGTAAAGCCTTGCCTATCTTTTTACATTTGTACCTTTTTTTACCCTGTAGACTAAATGTTTGAAGCAATTAGTAAGAAAATGTGAAATACCAGATACAGAATTAGAAAAACATGACATGTATGAACCTACCTTTGATATTCAGAAATTGGCTTTTTATTGTAAACACTCCAGAGGTGTAGTACAATTGCATTATTCAGCACTGTGCAAGATCTCACTTGGAATACCTTATAGGCATGTTTACATGGCATTTTCCAGACTGATGAGAAAAAGCTCTGCCCACGTTTGAAGTCAGCCAGATTAAAGCCAGCCCTAAACCAGAAGCCACAAGGTACTGTGCTGAGCTTGAGCTAGTAAGCTCTGCTTTATTAAATTGCTCCATTGTTTTAGAGCTTGAACCTTTTAAAAGGGTGGGTAGACATATCCATCCGTATATCTCAGAACAATTTCTTATGCAATAATACACACGCTCTAAGAAAACACTAACAGATGGCTAAATGGAGCAAAATAATGGAGGATTTTAGCAAGTAATGGCAGGCTCAACACTGTGGGTCTATACATCAAGGTAAAAATCTAATTTTGTTATCTAAAAGCATAAGCGCAGTTCCAAACATTCAATACTTTGGGAGATTTAGAGCTGAATCCAGACCCTATGATTCGCTCTCTGAATTTGTCCAAAGCAGAGATTTAACACAGATTCTTACTTCAAAGGCAGAGCTAAGAGTCTAAACCTGCCTACAATGTAAAAGGTCTACTTGCAGTTCAGAGGAACTCTGAGGTTGATGTTGCTCGGTCCACATGGTGATTTAGAGTCTGGGTTTCTCTTTAATTTTGTTGGAATGTACCTTTTCAGCAGAGCTGTAAAGGCTTCATCAGGCCAGTGCTGACAGAATACTGAGCACCATTCCCACAGTGCCACCCTGAAGAGATAAGTTGTCCCGCAGCTCTCAGGGAATTAATCTAGAGATCTAATTTATGGTTCCTGTTGGATTAACCTGAGTGTGCTGAGAGTTTAGTTATCTCCACTTTATGGTCCTAGTAACCGCCTCAGCGCAGGAAGGACTGAGAGTCAGAGCTGAGCTGCCAGAGGTCATAGCCTGCCATATTAGCATAAGCTGAAATCAATGGAGATTTGAGATAACACACTACACCACAGACTGTAGCAGCTGTGAAGCAGACCGACTGCTCACTGTATTACCCTTTCTGTAGATTTGATAACCAACAGAAAGTTAAGGTGGACAGCTGGAGGCAGACAACTTTTAAAGCAGTCTCAGCATAAATCACTGAAACCTGAGAATCAGAGCCCTTATAATATCCCAGGATAAAAAATGTTGGGAACATACTCCCAGATACACACATCCATGTACAAAAACTGTGAGGATGTAACAGGAAAAAAAAAAATCATTACACTTGATCTCGTCCACATCAATAACTGAAGAAACAGGGGGAGCAAAACAAACAAACAAAAAAACCCAACAACAATGAAAAACAAACTACATTGAAAGCAGTCAGCAATATGAAAATGCCAAGTCTTTCCAGAAAACAAGACCAGTGAAAAAAAGTTTTGATTACATGCCTGGAAAGGCATGTCCCTCGTCTTCAGTGTTAAATCATTTCTAGGAACTTTATTTATAGAGTACCTGAGAAGACATTTAAAACTCAGGAGAAAACACATGGCACCATCAGAGATAAAGGGTGATGCTATAAGGTGATTCTCATGAGATAACAACTAAGTTATGAGGATTTTTACTTCTATAACACAGGGTTAAAATGAAAGCAAAATTTCTGTACAGAAAGAAAATGTAAGGTCCGACTGTGAAAAAAATAGCTTTTTATCTTCTCTGTTAAATGGACACAATCTGGTAGGCTCATTTAAGATACACCTGTCTCCCATGCTGCAAACTGCATGTGACTCTGCCCTGCTCTTTTGTTCTGTGACTAGTGTTATGCTTTAAAAGCTTTGAGAGCCTGAGCATGACCTTAATCTTGACTGAATCTCAAAGTAACAGCCATTTATGCAATTTGTAAAAGTTCATACAAACACATAACGTATAAAGCAGCCAATTCTTTTACTCCATAATATATGGAGATATCCTTGTCTTTTGATTAAGAGAAGGATTTCTGCTGGGTGGCAAGGTGGCTATTTACACACTGCTGTATAGCCCTAGTGGCATGACAGCTGGACACCAACAAATTAGAGGAATTAATATATAAACTACCATCAACAGATAGCACAAGAGTTTGCATGCAGCTCCCAAGCAGCTATACTTCACAGCCAAACACACACTCAAAAAACACGTCTGATGCAGGTCTGGCGCTGTGCCAGTACAAAACAAAACAAGAACAAAACACTCCATCCCTAGGAAATCTTACACAGCTGTCAACAATTCTGGTGCCCAGGGAACAATACTAAACAAGTAACATACCCTAGACAGCCTCATGTTTTGCTGTCTCTATCTCTTTAGACCACAGAGCCATCCCAGCTTTCAGTGGTGCCAAAGCAACAGCAGAAGGTCTTGTGGGTAAGGGGTAGTCTAAGTAGGACTCAAGAGCGCTGATCTAACTGAATCTTTCTTTGGTTTAAACAGAGTTACCGTCAAGTCCGTTTGAATGAACTCCTACAAGAACATTCCAGGGCAGCTAACCTCATTGTTCTGTAAGTTATACAGTTTTGGTTTTAACTCAGAATAATCTACTATGTGTAGGGATTTCTGGACTTAGATCAGTAGAAAGCCTTGTGTTCAGGCTTCAGAGCAAAATTAACCTAATTTAAGTCCTTCAAAAGATGCTTAAATCTGGACTGATGGTTCTCTGGACTGTGCTGAATATGAACCTTACCCAATAGCTCCTTATAGCTTAAAGCAAAGCTCTCCTCATGAAAAGGCGTTGAAAACATCATGTACACATCCAGCTCTAAATTTTGAGTGTTATACCTGCTTACTCCCCTGCCAAAACCAAACCTTTTCCTTTCATTTCCCCCAACTATTAAAAATTCCCCTAACTATTAAAAATTCCAAGTTAGAGAAAGGATTCTTTTTGCTTGCACACCATAAATTGAGTGGCTAGCCAAATGAACTTGAAACTATGTAAAACTGAATAAGGATGATGCAATCACATAAAGAAAAATCAGTCACCAAGAAACAAATATAAAAACCCATGAAACCATTTTCAGAGTCAATTTTTTGATAGAGCCACATTTCTCATACACATCTTGAATAAATCAGTATTTGTGTTGCACAGATAAACCTTTTCAGCTCTATTAACTCAGTCTCCAAGAAGGAGATGATCACGTAATGTTTACAGCAAATTGAGGCATACTGTAAAAACTCCCATCTCACAGTAACTATACATGAGGAAATGAGCTGATGGACTGCCTAATTTTGCATGTGCTATATTTTTCCTTCTCTGTTTTTTATTGTATTATGCATGGGGCTTATGGTCCTGAGCCTGAAAATGCTTCTTTACATATTTAAGGTTACTATCGCAAGAACTTCATGTATTACAGTACAACTAATCATGTTAATGGCATGAGCCAGGTGACTAAGAGTTTGCAAGATTAAGGCCTAATGGTACCTTTGTGTTTTACAAGATTAATAGAGTCATGTAGCCTGATCAAAAATATTCAGATTGGTATACAAAACAGTTGATTTTTTTTACTTAATATTTTGTGAGATGCACGTTATCAGGGCTACCACTGACTTTCTAATAGTAATTTTATTTCTCTCTCTATTGGAACAGGAGTCTCCCAGTGGCAAGAAAAGGAGTAGTGTCTGATCACCTGTATATGGCTTGGCTAGAAATTCTCTCAAAGAATCTCCCTCCAGTCTTAATGGTTAGAGGCAATCACAAAAACGTACTGACTTTCTATTCGTAGTGAAACTTATGTGCACAGAATATCCCATGCTTGATTTCAACACATTTATTTTTAATGGTAGTGCTTTATTAAAGACACTTATCCAAAACAGATCTAGAATTTGACCTATTAATAGAAAATTTTTCAAAAATCCAAGACAGGACACAGTGGGGAGTTAGATAAGATAATGTGACTGGTCCTTACTGGTTTTACACTCCAGTGCGGGCAAAAGAAGGAAAATCTACCTGTGCAAGCCCACCAACATTTTAAAAACCACAAACAAGAGACCACACTCATTTTATACACAACCTAAAATCCTTTTGATATTTATCCTAGTAAGCCAACATTAACAGCTACAATACAAAAAGCATTAAATCTATAAATATTTCTTTCATACTGCACTTTCGTAGTTGCCAACAGGCACAGAAGAGGATTAAAATACAATATACCAACTTTGGAAATAGGAAAAAAGCTGCATGGTATCTATCAAGCCAAAATCATAAATATAATGCAAGGAGAATACCTGCAGTGCTGTTTAATTATAGCAATGCCAAATTACTACCTATGCCAAAGGCATATGCTTTTACCAAAATTGTTTTCTTAATTTTTGTTAATTCAAACGTTTTCTAATCTGAGAAACAAAAGTTATGTACGCAAAAATAATGATTCTATATAACAAGAGTTGACAATGAATTTTCAAGCTCTGATATGGAGTGGAATCAAATGTATCATTGCAATAATTAAAGGTGATAAGTAAATTTCCAGGAGAAATTAGTGAAATACTAAATATTCTGGCAATTTTTGCTCTGAATGTTGTCCATTGATATAACCTGAGATTATAAATTAGGATCATATATGCAGTGATTTACATAAAAGTGATTACAAAATGTAATAAACTTGAGGTTTAGTCAAGTTGAATGCCTAATTTCTCTGATTTATATAGACTATTTCTCTGTTTAGACTAATATTTGTTATACACTAATATGAAATAAAGAAAATCCACTAAAATGTGCAATTTTTCTACTTTCTATTCTGCAACGTTATAGCACTATATTATTTCAGCTGTCAATAAAAGCAACTTCTCTTTTTAACAGAGAAACTTTATCCTATATTATTTAAATTAGAGAACATTAAGGAGCATAGCTAGTTTAATCAGTGAAGTTCTGCAGTAATTGGAGCGACTGACTGAAATCTAAGCCCTAGTAAAGCCAGTGGGCTCCAAATTTCACCAAATGATTATTTTAAAGCAGATCTCACATTCCCTCTTTGCTTGAATTATGAGAATTGCTGAGAATCTAGCTTTTCCCCAAAAATGCAGAATTGATATTCACGTTTTTCCAAGTTCAACAGCAGCAATTCAGCAGAACATGGTAATATAGCTCAATAATCCATGCTTTATTTTCTCCATCTACTAAAGACAGGATATGAAATACTGGTATTTACTCATAATGTTCTTCCTTCGTTCCTTCTTACACATTTACAACCAGGTTGAAGGATCACTTTGCAGTTTAACTGCAAGACAGATGCATGGGTTTCCTACAGACACCAGACCTCCTGCACTGCTCTGAGCAAAGAAAGCCTCAAATTGTGCATCAGCAAAATTCTCATCCCTAACAGTGATGTTAGCAGTGATATAGTCCATGCCGTCAAATCCTTCTGCCTTTGCAGAACTGCAATGGCCACGACTCTTTCCACCTTACCCGAGACACCAAACAAGTATAATGCATGAGTGCTACCCAGTCAGTGGAACAGAAGAGCCTCCAGGAAGGCTCTAACTAGGCCCTCCGTAAGGTCTCCCTCTTATCACAGTCTTTGGAAGAAGCTGGGGCTATTGTGCATCTTCATTAAGCCCTTCAATCATGTACCTTAAGTTAGAAATAAACATATCACAGTGAGGATTCTTTCCTAAATATTCCCAAATACTATAATTTTCAGTCTGCAAGGATGATTGCCCCAAACTTATTTTGGGGACCTAAACTGATCTAAAAAGAGAAGATGCACAGTATTAACTAGCAATGGCACTTTCAATGCTATTCACACTTTTCTCTTGCAAGCACACCCTGGGCTTTGCTACAATGAATCCTCATGAAAAGCACATTTCTAGATGAACAATTATTGACATTTATATGGGATTTACAACTAGCAGCACAAACTCTAGACACAACAGTGCCTAACATCTGAAAGCAAAGCAGTATTTCCACAAACTCAAAAGTAATTTCAACACAGCAGTTTCCTTAGAGCTTCTAGAAATCATAGTGAGGCACTGGAAATAAAGTGTGTGCATGACTAATTTGGAGAGCATGCCAATTATGAACTCTCAAATTTTAACTTCAGATGTAAAATTTCATTAGTCCACCTATCTCCTTTTCCACTGTGTAACAGACACTTCCTGTTTTACATACATTATGCATAAAACTACTGAATTTTAATCACTGTGTTAGTAACTGCATTCTAATTATAAGTTTGACATCTTCAGAAAAAGCATAGCTCTGAAATAGCCTAGCATCTTTTGAGCATATATGCCACTAACTCTGCAGGCTTATATAATTGCGGGTTGATTGAATCAGTCACAACAAAAATAAGCATAAATCAGGTGACCAACAGTTATTAAAGTGAGAAAATACTGCTGATATGAAGTGGGGACAAAGAATATGTTGCGTGTTCTTCACAAGTCTAGGCATCCCACACTTTGCATAGCTAAGCTTGCGCCTAAGAACCCGTTAAAATGATCCATTACCACTCGTCTCACCAGAGAATCTTACTTGTCCTTCCTAATGTTAGAGGAGCTCACAGAAGGCATTTTGGCACTCTTCAGGGAATCAATTTGCCTAAACCTTTTTAGGGCTATGGGCCAGTTGGCCATCTTGATCACATACCCCTAAGACAGTGTTTAGTGATGGTACTGATTGTCCCCACCTAGGGCTCCAAAACAGCATTCTTCCAAAGTGCCAGTCACCATTCCTCAATGGAACAGAGGTTTACTTTATCAGCAACATAACAGCATGAATAGAAGATCTACCTAGCCAAAAAGGCATCACATTCTTAAGATAAAACAGCTGCAACTGCTCAAGCCACACTGCAAAGAATATACCACTGTCATACTTCACACCCAAAGGGCTTCTCCACTTCACTATCGTAAACACAAAGCACAAAGTTCAACTCACTGCAGAGGCTGAGGAATTTTACTGTGCAATTTCCATTACATCTTTGAAAAATCCAGTCAAAAGTCTTCCTGGCTAGGCAAAACATGACAGCTGTCCTTCATTTTCAGAAAACCTCAACATTTCTCTTTCTTCTCCCTCTTTTTCTACAGTCTGTCTCATGTGGTATTTGAAGGTAAGAGCTTGTGGTATTTGAAGGTGTGGTATTTAAGGTAAGAGCTGTTCCAGCAACTGATTGGTAGTCTGCAGGTAACAAAGTAATTAGCACTGAAATTACAGATACAGGCAAAAGAGCTGCACAATCTTACCTATTACTGACTCTCTTAACTCTCTTCCTGTTTGTTGCCTCCCCTCTGGGAGAGGCCCCTGACTTATCAGTAAAGCTGGGAGAACAGAATATGAGCAATCCTCAGTCTCTTCAGCTTTGAGTTCAGTGGATTCCATTAAGCTGCCACAGCTGGTCATTTGACTATGTCACTGGACTTTGATGGAGTGACTAAGTATCACTCAGTGGTCCTGCTCTGTCTTCCATGCCACATGATTTTCATTTTTGTCAGGGGGCAATAATTCCTTAAAGTATTGCAGCTGTTTGCTAAAGAAGCATATGACTCAGTCCTCAAGTCAGAGGTAGAGGCCAGCAAACTCAAGGGTTCTCCAATATCCTAGTGTAGTTCTGCAGTTTTCTGCTATTTATCAGATCATTGTTTAATTCTGTTAATTCTGGCACGTGGTTACATGGAACGACCACTTGGCAGGTGTGTAGTGTACTGAGGTGGTCCAGCCTGTTCTGCTGAGGGAACGCCTCGCACTAACCTCGACTGTTAGAATGGAAAATGTAGCTGTGCCAGGGCAACCACCAATCAAATCTGGCAAGTTTTAACTCACTTTCCCCCCAAATAACAAGAGCAATAATCCACAGCTATGCCATTGCTGGAATTCCATCAGAGGAAATTTAGCTCCAAACAAAATAAAGCATGAAGGGGATGTGGGAAGAGTAAAAAGCAGTGGCAAAATTTCACAGCCCCCCCCATGCTGAACAGTGAAACACAAGATCAAAAAGAAAGCCTAATTGCAGAGAAACACCACTACAGAAGCCTTTTAAATTACAAAATTTATCTGAAACACTGTGAGAAAGACAGCTGTTCTAAGTGAGACTGTGAGGAAAAAAACCTTTCTTTTTAAAGACACAATTTTCGTCTAATGAAAACGTTCATTCTAACACCAAAACTTTAGTCGGGAGAATTTCACAGATTAGTATCCCCAAAGCAACTCTATAATCTGTTTCCTTCTGCTTACAGGAAAACTGCTTCCATTCTTACTCTGAATCTAGGCAGCAGGCAGATAATTTCAGTTTATCTCATTTCTGTTTTTCAAAGCCAGAAATACCCAATGGATAGCAGCAATAATCAACAATCAACAATACAGGAATGTGAACCAAATGACTGTTTATCTACAGAGCAAACAGAATATGCTCAGTATCAAGGCAAATTTGCCTAGCCTTAAAGCACAGTTCTCTTTCTTGTCTTTTTACACAACTGGGTGGCGGGGGGGGAGTGTCAATCAGTTGAGACCTTTCCCCTTGATGACAGTACATTTGGACGAGTCCTTTTATGTGTTTGTTATACAGAGACTTTCATGGCTACCCCAAAATGTAGCCTGGAACCAAGCCGGCCTCATGCTATTGACAACTTACATTAACCTCCCTCTTAAAAAATTAAATCAAATCAAGACAGCAATACAATACTGTTAATAAACATAAGCTTTTTTCAATCACACTTTCCAATTTTTGAAAATGCATTTCATTGAAACAGTTCAAGCTCCATTTTTAAGACAACAAATTGTAGTTACAATGTGGAAGACAAATACGTATTTCTGTGTTTTCTCTAATTTATCCTTGAAACCCAATATAAAAAGCCAATATAACTTTATTTACAGAAAGTAACAAAATTTTGGAAGCTGAACAGTGCAGGACACTATTGAGAAAACCCAGGAAAAATAATTTGCTTTCTTCCCATTTAAGAAAAAAGGGAGGATGAAAATACACTTGCTATAGAAAATTCCCAATGAAAGTTTATTGGCCATCCTATTTGAGGTTTCAAAGTTTGAAGAAAACTCCATTCTCCAGTAAATTGTTATTAATTGTCTACATCCATTTGCTTTGATTATTCTGCTCTTTTATCTTCCCTATTATTTCAACCTTTTTTTTTTTTTTTTACCTGGTATGCATACTGGAAGCTGGTACATTTTTGGTGAATACATTTGAAATGGAGCTCAGACCATTTAGAAGATTAGTCCTTTTCTACAGCATGATGCATGACACAGTTGTAATCTCTATAAAAGCCTGTGTAAAAAATAATTTATAATTAGATATGAATAACTAACCTAAAAATTCTAATCAACCTCAGTTTGTGGGTGGCTTGTAATAAAATTCATAAACTTTTTTTTTCCCTTACATAGGACTATGATACGTGTACCTTCTCATTTAAACAGTGCATGTTATTAAGACTGAAAGTGATGAATAATATAAACCTGCAAAGCGGGGGGGGGGGGGGTGTCTTCAAAACTACGATTTTTCACAACCGAATTGCAGTACGCAGCAATGGTTTCACTGCCCCTTGGCTGCATTTGAGAAAAAACGCCTCACGGCAGGGAGACAATCACACCCCCTTCAATCATTCGGTAAAAAATAAACCCATAAAGAATGGCGGCTTGACAGGATCGAGAAGACCAAACAGAAGCTACTGTGCACAGTGAAAAACACACCCACCGGAGGGGCCGCGCACGAGTTCTGCCACCCCAAACCGGCGGGTTAGCGCCAGACTCCATCACCGGGACGTGAGGGAGGCTGCAGGGAACAGCACGATGTGGCAAAAGAGGGCAG